ATAACATGGGCCCAATGGGCCCCACAGCCTCAGCCCCTAAAGCATCCATCCAAACCACTTGTTCGGGCCCATTGTTTTTTTTTTAAAATTAATTAAAGAAAAACCATTCGAATTTGGGATTATAAAATATTTTTTAATTAAAATTAATTATACGTTATTGCGTATATAATATATTTTCAAGTAAAATATTATACGTATAAATATAATTAGACGTGCGTCATGGTACAGAATTATGACGTCAACGAAGAAAATATAAAAAATAATTAATTAATTTTAAAAAATTAAATAATTAATTGAAATTAGGAAGCTGAAAATTGCATGGAATCTCTGCGAAGTACTTTTTAGAGAGTTGTCCGTGTGGGTTTTGCTCCTAATTATGATATAGTGTTCTTTCTTATGGATGTGGGTTCATTTCTCTCTAGCTTTACTTGTATGTATGTATATATATATATATATATATATATATATATGTATATATATGTGTGTTTGTATATATATAGATACGCATAAAGACACTAAAGGATATACACGCACTCACAAATAGGACAGACCCACACACACATATTTTTTGAAAAAAACATAAAGGTGTATATACACCCATATAAATATATATGTCAATTGATTTGATTTTCAGAAATTGACATCAATTTTTGACTTAAAAAAATTCGTTATCTCCCTTTTTTTTTTCTAGAAAAAATACATATTCATCAATTAAATTATATATATATATATACACACACACTAATTATAAAATAATATTTAAATAAAAATACATATAAAAATACAATCATGTAAAATAAATATTCAAATTGAACCTTCACCAAATATTAACCTAAAATTCGAATTCTAATATTATTAGGTGATTTAATTTAAATTAATTTATGTAAAATAAAAATTAGAAAATACTAATAGATTATGCGTCAAAAAAAATATAAAAACAATGTCATAAAGTTAGTCGTATTAAATCTCTCTCTGAAATTATGGCATATGATGTGTGTGTGTGTGTATATATATGTTGTATATATATATTATATATATATATATGTATAAGCAAAGATACCCAATACCTACAACTTGGAGAGAATCCCCATGCACAATAATAAAGCCACGTAGCTTTAACAGAAGAGAATGGATCATGAATAAAGCATAAATTTATATGTATATGAGCACACGGATAATCACCATCATCATCATACAAAAAGATAATTATATCTATACAGTGTAGGCATTTTAATGTTGTATATCTGCATCATACACACACACACACACACACACGTATATATATATATATGTGTGTGTGTGTGTGTGTTATCAAATGATGTATCATCAGATGGAACTGTGTGATTATGTCAATCGGGACCTCTGAAACAAAGTTGTCTCAGCACCTACCTCAAAATCTCATCCTTACACTTTATATTTATATTCCTCAAACATATAAATTTTTTTAGTTTTATATTTATGGAATCATTGATATTTTAATATTTATATGTATTTATACAGTATTATTATATTATTATTAAATAATTTAATTTAATTTAATGGGGTACGTAATGGCATGGTCATAATTTCACTGAAAAACAAGTGTCCGATATTAATTTTGAGTGTCCTTCGCTGGCTAGCTTTTATTATCATGACGTCTCTCTATATATATATATATATATGTCTGCTTGAATGTATGTATACATATATATTATTCCTTTAACATCTTGTTGTCCCTTAGGTCTTATTTGGCATATATATTCCTTTAATTGAAGTAATCTTTTCTCTAATGAAAATTGGAAATTTTAACATTAATAAAGTTTTTTTCTTGCTTTTCAGAATATATATATATATATATACCAATTAATATATAATTTAAACATTAGATGGTTATAGTTTTTGATTAAAAAAAAAATTTCTTTAGATGCTAGAATGGTTATGTATGTATCTATGTATGTCAGTATGTATGTATGTATGTATGTATAAAAGCCATGGATGTATTATTTATATATATACACATATATGTTGTACGTGAAAAGCTAGTGATTCGAGCCAAGGGAGACAAAGCTGTCTCCTCTGTGTTGGAAGATGAACAGAGAAGAGAAAAAAAATATATATATATGTATGTACTAAAATTCTCTCTTACAGTCAGATATGTTTTGTCTACAATAAACACAAGATTGATCGTGGAAAGCTGTATATATAAATAATGTCTGCATATAAATATTATAAAAATATAATGAACAGATATATATATATATATATATAATGTATAGTAATAACTAATCTGAAGTGAAAAGAGGAGGAATTAAACTAAAGAAAGAAGCCTTGGGATTTTAAGTGGAAAAGGCTGAGTTCAACTGTTTAGGCAGGTAATGGAATACCGAGTACTACTGTGTTTAACCCCTGCAGCCCGTTCTTGATCCTCTCATATATACATACATATATATATATATATACACACTCTATATAATGAATTATATACGGGTATTAACTGCAGCTCATGACCCATATACAAAGTTCTTGCCTTTAAAAAGTTTGCTCTCGAAATTAATTAACTCCCAAATTTCATCTCGTGTAGTAAACTTAGTTAAGATGTTGCAGAGATTTTTATATTGGGGTATCATATATATATTAATATGTGTGCATGTAAAGTACATAAATGCAATAAGTTTATATACGTAGGTAGGAAATTAATGTTGAAAAAGTAGGTAGGTGTTAAATATTCCTAGCATTTTATACATGATGTAGTATAAAACTCCATGCAGTGAAAAGGGTAGGTACATATATATATATATATATATAGTGGTTTGATAACATAAGGGAAAGAAGAGTAGGGCAAAATTAAAGGGGTAAATTTGGTGGTAGGCCTGGTCTCTCCAGCAAAAGGGTACCTTAGTTCATCATAAATAAATTCACCCCAACTTCTCATTATTCGTATACATCTACGTATGATATATGGATGTTTCATAATGTATCGTAGAAAGTATATGTATATATATATATATATATGTGTGTGTGTGTGTGTGTCTGTGATGACTAACCCTCACACGGTCAACCAACTAAACATTTTACCTTTTGTTCGATGGGTTTTAAGAGCATGTACGTATATATATATATGTATGTATGTATGTATGTATCTATGTATGTATAGTTGCTGTTAGTGTTTTGAGTAATTAGAAGAAGAATGGGATTGGGAGGCGGTCAAAGGGTCCATGAGACGTCGTTTCAATGAACAGTAGAATGGATGAGAGAGAAGAGTAAGCGTAGTAGTACTGTAGTTGGCATCAGTGTATGTTGCAATTTTCCCCAACCACTTGGGGCTCCACATTTAAGCACTTCGTTTTTTAGCCCATCCCTTTCTTTCTCCCTCCAAAACAAAGCTGCCAACAAGATCCACTACATTTATATCTCTCATCAACACTACTACATACATACATACACACACACACACATGTATGTATATATATATACACACACACACCCATTAGCACAGAGCTTTATGGGTTAACTTCATATAATTTTATTTAAAACCATAAGTATCAAATATTTGATTCAGTAGGTTTAGAGTTTAACATGTTAATGTTTTAAACTTTATTTGCAACAAAATTTATGAGTTACATAGAAATTCATACATATATGCATACATTTTAGCATTGTAAGTGTGTGTGTGTGTGTATATATATATAATATTCAAACATGTGGGTATATATGTAATATAGTGAGAAGGTAAAAGCTAATGATTTGGTTTGAATTAGTTCAAGTAATTATAGTGAATCTCTTCATATGGTATATGTTCCATCTATCAACAAACATCCCTCCACTAAGCAAAGCAATAAAAGGGCATCATATGCACCCTTCAAAAAGCTGATGTATTTGCAGCATGAAAAGCCTATTTCACAACTATCTACAAATTCATTCCCACATCAACAAAATGAATATAATTATTATGTATACATATACATTATCTGTCCTGTCTTATATATATATATATATATTCATTGATCATGAGCTTTTTCTTTTAATTTCTTTTGATTCTTTTGTTGGGATCATAGCCATATATCTATATATATATATATATATGATTCTCAAGTACTTATATAATTCATTGTATGTATATCATGAGTGTTGGAGGCAGAGATTTGGTGAACACCCAAAGATGAAGATCTATTCAAAGTGAAAAAGAAATAATTCAATTATTAAAGCTATAAGCTAAAAGCCAACATCCCCATAAAAACTTAAAAAAAGTGCTTCTTAAGATATTCCCCTCCCTTTAAAACTCTTTTCTTATGTTAACACATGTGCACTTAATTACTTGGATTTATAATGGCTTTCACATTTTAATAATTACATATGTATAAGATTCTTCATGCTTTATCATCACAAATATTATTTATCTTATTATATACATATATATATATACATACATACATTTTTATTACAATGGTATATTCATAAATTTATTTTATACATTTTTCTTATGAAAAAAATAATTATTAATTAAGTAGTAATTACTACTTATTCTTTTGAGAATATAAAACTTCACTCATCATTTGCATAATAAAGGTCTTTTGCGTTGGATTAGGTATCAATATCTATAGGTAGGAATCACCATAATTATCCTCAAAATAAGGTGTAATTATACACACACACACACAACTATGGTAGCTCCTATGTATACACACACACACACACACACACACACATATATATATATAGATATACATAACATATACATACGTGTATTTGGATATAAATGAGCTTGCCTAGCTCGCATCTAAGCATTGTGTTTTGGGATATATCTTTAATACTAATGAATAGATATGAGTTACTAGATATATAAAATATATATATATATATCTTAATTACATAATAAATAAATATAAAATGATACTATATGTATATATTTATATTAGTAATTAATATCATAGAATTTTAAATTTTTCTAATAAACAACAATAATACAAAATGTTTAAATCGAAATAAAAATCAAACAAGAGATTAGTAAATAAGGACCAAAAGTCAACTACTTATAAGACCGGCTCTATCCATAATTATATGTTTTCTTACTAATTAAGAAATTAAACTCGATCATCAACATCATAATCAGCCTATCAATCCAAAAGATTTCAACTAGTACTCAGTACTTATAACTAGAGATTATATATGCATGAATATAATTAGCTAAATTAATCCAATTAATCTACCTACTTTGACTGCATGGACGAGTCATTATCTTGTTCGACTTCGGAAGCAGGGTCATCTTCTTCCTCAAACCCATCCATCCCATAAGCTCCATGGCCATTTCCGAAAGCTCTGATGTGATCTTTAAGCGATCTCTTGTGCTTGAAATCAGACCCACATATACAATACCAGAGCTTCCCACAGTTCTTCTCGTGGGTTCTCCAGTCTCCCCTTACCGCAAAAGCCTTGCCGCATTTTCTGCACATGAAGGGTTTGATTCCATGCTTTCTCTTGTAATGGGTTTGCAGAGTTCTGAAATCTTTGAGAGGCTTGGCTCGAGGATGGTCGATGTTGTTTCTGCAACCTGGCGCACAGCAGTAGCATGGAAGCCGCAGCATACCCGTCGGCTGGGTGCCTCGTAATGACTCCGGCCCTTTTCTGTATTGAGATCCATGTCCCCACATATGCATCTATATGTACATGTATAAGTAAATACATGGAGAGAGAGAGAGAGAGAGAGAGAGAGAGAGAGAGAGAGAGAACACGAACACAGTTCAATCACACTAGAGATCAACCAGTCGATCAACACAACAAAACTTAAACAGAAAAAAGGAGATGAATATATATAAAGTGCCTAGCTTTCTAATCATCACAGATTATGTATATGTGTATGTGTGTGTGTGTGTGTGTGTGTGTGTGTGTGTGTGTGTGTGTGTGTGTGTGTGTGTGTGTGTATAGAACACAAAGACACTTCAGTCACACTAGAGATCAATCAGTCGATCAACACAACAAAACTTGAACAGAAAAAAGGTGATGAATAACATGTGGATTTATATTATGCACATGTATGTATAAATTAAAGTCCCAGCGAGAGACTCTTATTATATCATACATATATATTTTTACACCAAATGTGTGAAATTTACAGCACTAAGGCGATTAGAATATGTAATCTGTCATTGGATATTGGTATATGTATATATATAGATCTATTTTCTTGATCAAATGAATGTTTGCTGTTTAATTTCCAGAAGAAATTTGTTTCTTTCTTGGTCTTACAATCATCTATATATTATCCAGTTAAACGAAATTCCAAAGACCTTCTTCACATTCGAGAAAAATGCGAATTGTAAGAAAAAGGTAGCTAGTGTATAAATATGGGGGTGGATGTGTGTGCTGATATATATATGTATACGTATATGTATATGTATATGTATGAGACATCGTATGAAATGGGGGTTTCCACGAGTTGTATGAACAGTTGGTTTGCAGGCAATGAGATAAATTTGTATTCTTGATTGAATCATGTCCAGAATCTCTGAAAAGCAAAGAAGAAAAAAAAAAAACCTGCAAAATTTTCAGTTGTACACGTCTGCCAATGTGTATTGCGCACAGACTTTCAAAGTACTAAAGACATAAGGAACATTGATCGTCTTGTTCAATCACATAAAGGGAGAGGTATTATTTTTTATCTCTCACTCTCAGTTTGGATCAGAAATTAGATTTATTTATTAATCCAACACCACCAAACCCATATGTCACATGCAACAATCTCCCCAACCCAGAAGAAGAAGAAGATGATGATGACGATGAAAATATATTTACACACATATATATACATATACCCAGAAGGAAAAATAGATGAAGAGATTGAAAATGGAGTAATGTTTTACCCTTAGCTAGGGTCATGGATTGTTTTCTTTTTCCCCTTAGAATCCAAGCATAGGAGACCAATTTAAGATCCAAATCAGGAAAAACACAGACAAAGAGAAGAAAATGCCTCAGAATTTGTAAATTCACATGTTATGAATTCCTTTTTTAGTAGAAATCAAAACCAGAAAAAGGGAAAGAAAGAAAATCAGTTTGCCCAGAAAAAAAAAAAAGACCAAAGGAGCTGGCTTTTGGCTTTGGGGTAATAATAATAATAATAATAATAAAATTATTACCTATAAAAAATGAAATTAACCGAAGAGGTGATGATATACCTGCATGTTATTGTATCTGTTGAAGGTCTTGCAGCAAACAGGACAAGAAAACTGTGTAGGACCAATAAGAATCTGAGAAGGAGTAGGGATCCAATACTGACCCTTGTTGAGTCTGCTTATAGGGTACCCAGAAGACTCATCGCCTCCATGAATATCTCTTTCTTTATCTGTATTGATCTCCGATGAGGAAGATAACACCGACGCCATCTCTGCCGCGCTAGGGCTTGGTAACCCTATATGCAGTGCAACCGTAACAGCAGCATCGTCGTCTTCACTTGCTGATGAGAAAAGAGTAGTTGTTGTTGTAGTAGTAGTTGCAGATAGAAGACGATCTTCTCCATCTTCTTGAACTTCTTGATCTTCTTCTTCTTCTTCTTCCTCGTGATTTTGTTTCCTTGTTGGGGTTAAGGACAAGAGAGGTAGGGCTTCTCGCAGAGGAGGAGACGTCGGTGGGTTTGGGTACTGGTGTTGTTGTTGATGGAAGTTGTAAGAGAAGTGGGTGTAAAGAGGGTGTGAGGAAGAAGAAGAAGAAGAAGAAGAAGGAGGAGGAGGAGGAGGAGGAGGAGGAGGATTTGCAGATGGGTAATGGTGAAGAGGGTTGAACTTGAACCAGCCTGTTAAGAAATTTGAGTAAGGGCTGTTGTCCGCCATAGTTGACGAAGCTCTCTGGTTGGATTTTGGTTTTTTTATAGAGAGAGAAAGAGGAGGAAGAAGAAGATGATGACTAAAGCGTGTGAATGGCGGAGGGTGGAGATTGTAATTAATTTTTCCTGTAATATAAAAACAGATCAAGAGGAAAAGAAAAATAAAAGAAGATGATGAAGAAGAAATAAAGCAAAAGGGGAAGAAGATAAAATCACCTGTAGTGGGAAGTGGAAGGACGAAGACTGTGCAGTCCTTTTTAGGGTAATTTAGAATAAATAATAAAATAATATATTTACGTACAGTACAGTAAATTTTTCTTTTTTAAAAAAAAAAAATTAATATTTTAATTTAATAATATAATTACTGAATTACGGGTATAAGTAGAAACCGTTAATGTCCGTTTTATAACAGTAACCGCGGATGGCCCGTCAACCTCATGCTCTTACTCAATTACTAAAATACCCCTCCTTTTCAAATTTACAAATTAATATATTATCTAACTTTTATATTATTATTACGTTAATAAAAACATTTATTCTTTAAGAAAATAGACATTATGTATTTAACAAAAATAAAAATTATTTTTTAAAAAATACATTCGTACTTATATTTGAAAAAATATATATAAGTACATAATTCTACAAGTATAATATATTATATTGAAAAAATAAATAATAATAAAGGAATTAATTTTAAAAAATGAGGATTTTATTATTATTATTATTTTTTAAAAAAAAGGCAAAATTTAAAGGTACGTGAAGCTAAGTAGTTTTGAGTGTAGGCCAACATATCCATTGGTGTGCGGACGTAGTGGTCGGCTTTTGCCTTTGCCTTAATTCCAGCTCCGTCTCTCATCTCCATTTTCACTGCCCCACAACCCTAATTTTCTCTCCACCTTTTAAATTATATTATATATATATATATACATATAGTATATATTATTATGAATTTCCACATGGGTTTGGTGAATTTTCGCAAATAATTAATTAAAATTTGATTATAATGTAATTTTGAATAATGGGTCGTATTGATTTTGAGTTTATTTTATCTAAAAACTAATTAAAGTAAACTAGTGTAAAATACGATTAAGTACATATAATATCTATATATGTGTGTGCGTGTGTGTGTGTGGGTGTATATATATATATATATATAGAATAAAAGGTAGGAGAGTAAATGAGGATTAATATTACCAGAAGTAAAATACTTAAAGAGTAGTATTTTCCATCATTAACAAAGTACATCTTCCCATAAATTCTGTCAAACTTCTACCTGCAACTCCTCATCTCACCCACACTATCATATATATACATACATACATACGTGTGTGTGTCTTTGTGTGTGTGAGAGAGAGAGAGAGAGAGTATGTATATATATAAATAAATACATCAGTCTTGCATGTTCAACATATTTAATCTGTACTGCAAACATGATATCTCTTAAAAATTCAACCAATCATCATTAATATTTTGAAATCAATTTTTTTGGTGGTTTGAAAATTTTCAATTTCATATAATTTAGGGCATGTGTGTTTTATATATATATATATAATTAATATAAGTATCAGAACTATCAAATCAACTCTATAATGAATCCCAATGTCTTATATTTTATATAGATTTAATTAATCTCTCTAATTTCTTATTAAACATGAGTAATTTCTCAAGCTAATTCTAAAATCATAATAACCCTCTTTCATTTTGGCTAAGTAATTTACATACATAGATATATAGATATGTATATATGTATAGATATAGATGAATTTAGAAGATGATAGACTCCACTATATCTCTCTTTTCCCCCCCTTGAAAGCAAAAAGAATTAACCTTTTGTTCACAATCTATATGATGTCAGATCTGGCAAAGCAAAAAAGGGTTACCTTATATTGCTAGCAACCCTACAAACAACAGTGTAATACCCACATTTATATTTGACTTTACATCAAATCATAATTAATTCTTGAAATTTAATATTTATTATATTAAAAAAAAATTTGAGTTTCCATCAAATTTTCAGTGGAAAAAATCTAAAATAATTAAATTATCTTTAGAAACTTCAAAAAAAAAAAAAATAGCCTATGCAAAATGAGTTATTTAAAAAAAATTCAAAATTTTAAAAAATAACCTAATTATTTTTAATTTTTTCTTTATAAAAATGGGTAGAAACTAATTTTTTTTAAAAAAATAAATTTAAAATGCTAAGACCAAATTGTAAAAAATATATATATATACTAATTTTAAAAATTGAGTTTCCATCAAATTTTCAATGGAAAAAATTTAAAATAATTAAATTATCTTTAGAAACTTCAAAAAGAAAAATAACTTGTTTTAAAATTTTAAATAATTAAAAAATAAAGAAAATAAAAAAATTAACTTTTATGCAAAATAAATTATTTTATAAAAAAAATTTAAAATTTTAAAAAAATCTAATTATTTTTTTTATAAAATGTGTAGGAACTAAGTTTTTTTAAATAAATTTAAAATGTTAAGATCAAATTGTAATTAAAAAAAATATTACGAATGAAACTATAAAAAATGCCGAATTTTATAAAATAATTTAATAATTTACCCGTAATTTTATTATAATATTCAAGAATTATGTATATATATATATATGTATATATAACTTCAGGTTTTCACCTTACTATGCATTGGTAATTAAATTAGTTTAAAATTTTATAGTAGACTGTGAATTTTTTTCCCCCACGGTAATTAAAATGAGTTATTTGGTTAAGTGTTAAAAATATATTGTAAAATTTCTAGAGTAAATTCTCTAGTTTCAATATGAATAACACAAGTTTCAATATATATATATATATATATATATATATATATACACACACACACGTGTATATGCATAACATGTATTTCACTATCTCACAAAATTATATTCAACAAATCACATACACCTCACAGCTTAACAAAACAAAATTATATGCATGAGTCTATATGTGTGTGTGTGTGTATAATAATGCATGCAATTGTTAAACATATATATATATATATATGTGTGTCAGTTGCATGCATTATTATACACACACACACACATATAGACTCATGCATATAATTTTGTTTTGTTAAGCTG